ATATTACCCCCCCTCTCTTCGTTCTCGATAAAAGATCTCTCAGAAACCTCAATTCCCTAAACGACATCACCCAACACCGTTCAGCATGGCCGAAGAAGCCAAATCCAGAGGCAACGCGGCCTTCTCAGCCGGCGACTACGCTACCGCCGTCGAACACTTCACCGACGCCATCGCCCTTTCCCCAACCAATCACGTTCTCTACTCTAACCGGTCGGCGGCTCACGCGTCTCTCCACCACTACGCCGATGCTTTAAAAGACGCTAAGAAAACCGTTGAGCTGAAGCCGGACTGGTCGAAAGGTTACTCTCGCCTCGGCGCTGCTCATCTCGGCTTGCACCAAATCCAAGACGCTATCTCTGCTTACAAGAAAGGACTCGAGATTGATCCTAATAATGAAGGATTAAAATCCGGTTTGGCGGATGCTCAAGCAGCTGCCTCCCAGAGCCGCGCTGCGCCACCGCCTAGTCCGTTTGGTAATATATTCTCCGGTCCGGAGATGTGGGCGAAGTTAACAGCGGATCCGTCGACGAGAATGTATTTGCAGCAGCCGGATTTCGTTAAGATGATGCAAGAGATTCAGAAAAACCCTAATAATTTGAATCTCTATTTGAAGGATCAGAGAGTGATGCAGGCTATTGGGGTTTTGTTGAATGTTAAGTTTGGAGGGCCGAATCCAGGGGACGATATGGAGATTCCGGAGGAGACGTCCACTCCTCAGTCCTCTGCGTCGGAGAGGAAGGAAGATAAGAAGATGGAGGAGGAGAAGGTAGCGGAGCCAGAGCCAATGGAGGTAACGGGGGAGGAGAAGGAGGCGAAGGAGGCGAAGGAGAGGAAAGCTCAAGCAGCGAAAGAGAAGGAGTTGGGGAATGCAGCTTATAAAAAGAAGGAATTTGAGAAGGCTATTGAGCATTATACAAAGGCGACAGAGCTTGATGATGAGGATATTTCGTATTTGACGAATCGTGCTGCTGTTTATTTGGAGACGGGAAAGGTAAATTTAATATTTTGCCGTTTATTTTGGTTTGATTTGCTTTATATTGGCTTTAATTTTATGGACTCTATGATTTTTGAATGCTGTTACTTGTGCTGCTTACAAAAAAGAATTTTTGTGTGTTAGATTTGGAATGATTGCATAGTCTTAACTCTCGAGGCTGTCTGTTCTTGGTTAATGTTAACTATCTTAAAGCAATGCACTTTTTGTTGGATCTTAGTAAGGAGTAGCCCAAGCTGTGTGATCTTACTCTGTAGACCAAGTTCCTTGTTCATACTATTTTTTGAAGGGTGAGAGTAAGTTCTAGTGACGTTTTATCTTATTAGAAGTAGAAGAGAAGTTCTGTTTATTGAAGGACGAGTCTATCATGTCCACACAAAGCGCAGATTATAGTTTGAGAATGATTGCATAGTCTTAACTCTTAAGGCTGTCTGTTCTTGTTTAATGTTAACTATCTTAAAGCAATGCACTTTTTGTTGGATCTTAGCAAGGAGTAGCCCAAGCTTTGTGATATATTACGCTGTTGACCAAGTTCCTCTTTCATACTATTTTTGAAGGGTGAGAGTAAGTTCTAGTGACGTTTTATCTTATGAGAAGTAGAAGAGAAGTTCTGTTTATTGAAGGACGAGTCGATCATGTCCACACAAAGCTCAGATTATAGTTTGAGAAGAGTCTAAATGGAGACTAGGGGACACACATAAGCATGATAACAAATCTTCTGTTTTGCTCTTTCTGCTTCCTTTTATTAAACTGTAATGTAATTAAGTAACGCATGGTCGTCTCCCACCTTTCTCTTTGAAAGTTTGGGTCCAAAAGGAGTTGCAAGTTTTGGTAACTGTTGCAGTGGATTGCATTATGCGAGGAAGACATTGAGTAGGGATCTCCGATTCAAGTGTTTGGAAATTTTTATGGAAATGGATTGAATAGACTGGTGTCAGGTTATGATGTTCATACTTTAATGGAATCTGGGGTATATTAGTCCTGCTTTTTGTAATAGCTAGCGAGAGAAATTCAGGTGATCACTTGCCGTCTGACTAGCTTACTCTGCTTTGATGGAAGTTCTTAATGTTATCGTGCTCATATGGGCTAACCATGGTTTTTTATAGGTGTAGAATTATCACCAGTGTTTTTACTATTTGATTTCACCTGTACCCCTCTCTGATCCAATTACAATTTTCAGTATGATGAATGTATTAAAGATTGTGACAAAGCTGTTGAAAGAGGTAGAGAGCTTAGATCAGACTTTAAGATGATAGCAAGAGCATTGACAAGGAAAGGAACTGCCTTGGTGAAAATGGCAAAATGCTCAAGGGACTATGAACCTGCCATTGAAACTTTCCAGAAGGCCCTTACAGAGCATCGCAATCCAGACACATTGAAGAAACTAAATGAGGCCGAGAAAGCAAAGAAGGATCTTGAGCAACAAGAATACTTTGATCCAAAATTGGCTGAGGAAGAGCGTGAGAAAGGTAGCCATTCTCTGTTCATGTTTAGTTGCTGGTTATTCCTTTAAATGCAGTTCATATTATTCTGTCTCTTAATCCATTTTGTTACATGTGTATGGTGTGATGGTGTCCTCTTTCTGCAGGCAATGAATCTTTCAAGCAGCAGAAGTATCCAGAGGCTGTGAAGCACTACTCAGAATCTTTGAGAAGGAACCCTAAAGATCCCAAGGTAGTAACAGTCACCCAAACATTTTCGTATGTATGTGATTGGTTTCAGTTGTTCCGCACTAATGCTTGGCTGGTTGCTGCTTACAGACATATAGTAACAGAGCTGCATGCTACACCAAACTTGGGGCTCTTCCTGAGGGATTGAAGGATGCCGAGATGTGCATTGAACTTGATCCCACATTCTCAAAGGGTTATACAAGAAAAGGTGCTGTTCAATTCTTCATGAAAGAGTATGATAAAGCCTTGGAAACTTATCAGGAGGGTCTGAAACATGACCCTCGGAACCAGGAATTGCTAGATGGTGTTAGAAGGTATTTATTTATCAAGATTTGTTCACATTTAAGTGTACACATGGTTGAGAGAGTTTAACTGTGCTCTCGCTTCTTTTACAGATGTGTTGAACAGCTCAATAAGGCCAGTCGTGGTGACCTCAGCCCTGAGGAGCTAAAGGAAAGACAGGTAAGTTTGCTTTTATGACTTACGTTTAATGCCCAGAAAGTTTGAGTGGTGGCTGGATCATGGGTCTTGAATTTGTGACTTCCATTTCTCAGGCCAAGGCAATGCAGGACCCAGAAATTCAAAACATTCTCTCAGATCCTGTCATGAGACAGGTAAGGATTTAAACTGCCTTTCCCCCTTTTCTCTAGATTCGCAGAACAAATGCAAAATCGAAGATGGTTGCAATTGTGCATGGTAGTGATAATGCATTTTGTCTCAATCTTCAGGTGTTGGTTGACTTCCAAGAGAATCCCAAGGCGGCTCAGGAACATACGAAGAACCCAATGGTGATGAGCAAGATTCAGAAGCTTGTCCAAGCTGGAATTGTCCAGATGAGATAGATTTGAATGGAAAAGAGCAGTTAAATGGGCAAAACTCTTTTTTTGTTTTTTTGAACTTTTTCATCTGTGAATTGTAATTTCCAATGTGAATTTGAGGGGGCCAGGTGGTAAAAATTAATGGAATTGTAATTTCCAATGTGAATTTGAGTGGGCCAGGTGGTAAAAATTAATGGAATTTGGAAAAGTTTTGATATGTTTATATTTGCTTGCGTGTGGACACGCATTCAAGAGTCATGCTTGCCCTTAATTGGCCATGTGCAGTGGATCCTCCCTGCAGGACGTGGTGCTTCGGCGGGATCCTTTGGAATTGTTTTATTTCCATGTGTCAACTGCCACGCTCAGGGAAATCAGAGAAAGCTACAGGTAATGCAAAAATGACTAGTCTTTAGAAGGTACCCGGCCACGAGATGCCTAGATTCGCTCACATCGATGAATGAACAAATAACCGATGAGCATAGAGAATAACAGGGATAGTATTCTCAGTTCTGCTTCGTCTCCCAGGATTATTTGTTTATTTACACGCGTAACGCACTTTTATCAGGTTTGCTTCGTGTTTGCTCCCGTGTCCACGCGCAGCACGGAAAGGGTTTCAAGGGTGTTGTGTTTGAGGACATCAAAATTATCAGAAACACATCCTAATATATAGTTATGCCAAACAATCGCTTCCTTTCTATCCATTTCTAAAACCTACCTCTAATCACCTCTATCGAATTTGTGTATGTCAAGCTTTTCTTCTTGGAGCATCCACCAATTCCGAGTTATGTCCTTGAACTACAAGTTTTATCCCGAGATTACTACAAGAACCTGAATTTTTCTAACCATGCTATTAATTGAATCCATGTTCCGATCCGCTTCAACGAGTTTTTCTCTTTCTTAATTTTCTACTTGTAATTTGCCCAATCAACAACTTCCTTCTGTCATCGGTATTGTCAATCTTCCCTTAATCTCTTATTCTCGTTATTAACTCCCTCATCTCTACGGAGTTCAGTCAAGTTTAACAATAATTTTCCAGGTTAAAACAATGCCGCGTTTCTCAAACCTTAATTCTTTTTTTTTTGGTAAATCCTTTTGCATTTTACACATAATAAGGGTACAAAATAAAACAAAATTGGTTACTTGAAACAAAAGGCATCCATGTCACAAGAATACAATGCTTCGTCCTCTTAAGGGAATCAGAGAAACAAAATCAAGCAGCAACTTCTTGCTCTTTCGCAGCAAGCTGGTTTTGGATATGTTGAGGGACAACATCAAACTTGGCTAATTGCATGGTGTAGGATGCACGCCCTTTTGTCATTCCTCGAAGTGTACTAACATATTGGAACATCTCAGCCAGTGGAACAAGGGAATCAACCACCTGCATTAATCCAAAACCAACCAGTTTAAGAGATCGGAAATGAAGCTCAGCAAAGATCAAGGAAAAATAATACAGGATCATCTCACTTGGCATCACATACCTTCAAACCACCAGGTTTGTCACCAAAGCTGTTGATCTGACCTCTTCTTGAGTTGAGATCACCAATAACATCACCCAAATGTTCTTCAGGTGTGACTGCTTCAACTTTCATTATAGGTTCTAGCATTCTTGGACCAGCTTTCTTTATCCCTTCCCTGAAAGCCCCTCTGGCCGCCAGTTGAAATGCCAACACACTTGAATCAACATCATGGTAAGAACCATCTACCAAAACAGCACGTACATCGACAACAGGAAAGCCAGCAAGCACTCCGTTAGACATGCACTCCTCAAGTCCTTTCATCACTCCAGGAATATATTCTCTTGGCACCGCACCTCCCTTGATTTCACTTTTGAACTCATATCCGGTCCCTGCCTCCATGGGCTCAAACCGCACTGTTATATCAGCAAACTGTCCTTGCCCACCAGACTGTTTTTTGTGGACGTACTTCACTTCTGCTACTTTGGAAATGCTTTCACGGTAGTTCACTTGTGGTGCACCAACATTTGCTTCTACCTGTTTAAGGGAAGCAACCACGCCATCACAATTCAAATTAACATCTACCAGTATTTTTGTTCTCAGTAGGTTTTCAAAAACTAAGTGTTGAACAGAGCTTCTCTGTTAGTTGTTCTGCAGGAAACTGTCTAAAAACAATTTAATCAAAATAAAAGTAATCCATAGAAATAATGTGACCAAAGAATCCAATTTCAGTCTGTCAGATTCCTGCCTCTCTCTCTCTCGGATAATTAAGTGGAGTCTGGTTTCTTACTGAATCTACACTTGCCAGCCAACAAAATAACATGACGTGCAGGGCCTGTAATCTAGCATATAATGATTGTACATCTTAATTGTTACATGGATAGGGGACTGAATGCAAAATTAAGTATTTAGCCGTACCCAGCAAACACAACAATATTTTCAAGCAGCATACAACTCAAAGAACATTTAAAATCCAAGTTAACGAAGATTTTAAGTAAACAAATACTTGAAATTAACCTGAAAATTAGAAGCATGACTGGCATATACAAACCTTAAATTCTCTCTTGAGGCGATCTACAATAATCTCAAGATGCAATTCTCCCATCCCTTCGATCACTGTCTGGTTGATTTCTTCGTCACGTGAGAAGTGGAAAGAAGGGTCTTCCTGTGCAAGTTTGACCAAACCAGTCGTCATCTTATCAACATCAGCTTTAGTCTTGGGTTCAATTGCAACCTTAATGACAGGATCAGGGAAGTCCATCCTCTCAAGCACAACAGGATTATCAGGATCACAAAGAGTTTCACCAGTTATGGTATCTTTTAAACCAGCAAGAGCAACTATATCACCAGTTAAAGCTACTTTAACATCCTCTCTGCTATTGGCATGCATTTCTAGAAGTCTTCCAATTCTCTCTTTTTTACCTTTGTTCGCATTCATTACATAAGATCCTGCACTTAGCTTCCCTGAATACACTCTCACGAATGTGAGGGATCCCACAAATGAATCAGTCATGATCTTGAATGCTAGTCCAGCAAATGGTTCATCATCAGTTGCAGCCCTTTCAATTGTCACTTCTGGGTTCTCAGGATCAGAACCCTGCATTGCTGGCAAGTCAATAGGCGAAGGCAAATAATCAATGACAGCATCAAGCAATGGCTGAACCCCCTTATTCTTAAAAGCAGAGCCACATAAGACAGGGACAAAAATGCCTGCAATCGTTCCTTTCCTAATTAATATCTTGATTGTTTCCTCCTCAGGCTCAACTCCCTCTAGATAGCCCTCCATAGCTTCATCATCCAGCTCAACTATGGTCTCTATCATCTGTGCACGGTATTCTTGAGCCAACTCTTGAAGATCAGCTGGAATATCCTCATATGCAAACTTTGCACCCAATTCTTCTCCTGACCAAACTATAGCTTTCATTTTCACAAGATCAACAACTCCTTTAAAGCTATCTTCTGAACCAATTGGGATTTGAATAACAAGTGGTTTGGCACCCAAGTTTGTCACTATCATGTCTCGAGTTCGGAAAAAGTTTGCTCCAAGCCGATCCATCTTATTGACAAAGCAAATTCTGGGCACTCCATATTTATCTGCCTGCCTCCACACAGTTTCAGACTGTGGTTCCACACCAGCAACACTGTCAAACAAGCAGATAGCACTGTCCAAAACCCTGAGAGCTCGTTCCACTTCAAGTGTGAAATCAACATGGCCAGGAGTATCAATAATGTTGATGCGATGCTTGTTCCAAAATGTGGTAGTTGCAGCAGAAGTAATGGTGATCCCTCTTTCTTGCTCTTGTTCCATCCAGTCCATTGTAGCTGTTCCCTCATGTACCTCCCCTATTTTGTAGTTTCTTCCTGTATAGTACAGAATCCGTTCGGTTGTAGTAGTCTTCCCTGCATCTATGTGAGCCATAATCCCTATGTTCCGGTAGTCTTTCAAAGGCACCGTACGCTTTGCCTCTGGAAAAAGGTAAAGTAGAAAACATGTTAAGCCAGATGTGGAGACTGCAACAAGTACCAATCATTTGACAAGGAAATTCATATTCTAGATTAAAGATTATTTTTAAAATTCATGTACCTCAGCTCACGTACTCAATAAAGTAAATTTGAACATTGCAGACAGTATGCAACTAGAACTTCTACAATCAATCAAAATCACGAAGCTATCCTAGGAAGGAACATTATCAGTCACCTAAACCTACAAAGCAGCATAGTAGTGTGACTTCCGACACTGACACAGATAACATAAACTGTAAAGGCTAGAGTCCGAACAGCCTTTGTGATAAGAAAGAAATATAAACCAAAGGCCATGTGCAGGAAAAATAAACCTTGCACTTTCATATATCCACATTCCAACAGCTCATAAGTTAACAGGGAAAAAAAACAACCTCTTTTCAACCAACCGAATAATCAACTCAATTGCTCTGTCATGGCAGTAAAAAATCCAAACTTGAATGTTAATGCACTCGAAGAAGAAACTCAATTAATAAATCATTAAAAAATAGAAAAAGCAAAGGAACAGAATAAAAGCAATGCCCTATCTCAAATTCCATTGCCAAATATGTAGCGAAAACAGAAAAGACAAGCACGATTTCATCAACCACATAAAAAAAACAAGTATTTCACAGACGGTTTCCTTCATAAAGCCAAAAAACACCCCGCACACAACACCAAACTAAATCCAAAACAAAGAAATTCAGATAACAAAAACTGAAACAGAAAGAGACCATCAGCAGCCATGGCAAAGACGGAGAAGTTTCTCCTCCTCTCTCGCAGTTGGCGTGAAGTTGAGAACTTAGAAGAGTGTGAGCCAATGCGCGCAGAGCTTCCCAAGAAATGAGAGAGAGAAGAAGAGATTGAGATTGAAGCACGAGAAGAAGGGAGACCAAGAAAGTGAGTTGGTCTTCTTTGAGACCCATTGAAATTGCAGGGTGTGCTTGAACCTGAGGCTGAACCTGTTAGCCTCACTGTCTCCGCTGCCATTTTTATTGGTTTTTGTTGTGTGTTAAGAGACCTACCTTGAGTCTCTCTCTCTACTGGTTTTGTGTTGTGGTTGGGCTTGTTTCGTTGGGGATAACGAAACACTTCTGCTTTGTCTCGGGCTTCTGTATTCCACTTAATTTTCCTTTTTTCCCTTCGTGTAATTGCTTAAAATTGAGCTTGTGTATCTTTTGCCCCTTTATTTGAAGAAATTAACGATATTACCTGAACTCCTCAAATTCTTTTGGGCTAATTTTTCCATCGACCACCTTGAAAAGAAAATATGTG